GTAACAGTAAGTCTGGTAACTAAGATGACAAATAACTAAGGATGAGTGGCAATTTCAGCATGGAAACAACAACCCAAGTCATGAGTCATAGCTTAGGCTAGACACGTAGTGATGGTACAGGTTTCCATCATGCTCCTCTAAATTGCACACAATTAAAAACACATGCATTGTTTATTTATAGAAACTTGCATTTAATATTATTTTGGCCATGGCTTCCTACATGTAACGACAACTATGGGAGGCAATGCAGAAGACTGGGGAATGTTCTTCTGTGTATTCGTATCACTTCACCCATGCCGGCCCATATCTATCCTCTACTTTCTATCGCTTGCCTTCTCATTGGCTTTTATCCTTATACTGTGTATGCCACCTAGTCTTCAGCATAACAGCTGATGAAACGCTTACATCTTTTAGTTTCAAGTCATTTATAATGGCAACTTTAAACAAGTACAAAAGTGTGGCCAGTGAAAGGGTCGCCAGCTCAAAACCTTGAGAAGAAAGAATTTCTAAGTAACAAAACAAAACCCAGGTCAGAGTGTGGGAGCCTTCTTCAGATGGCCTGACATTCCCTCATCCAATCACAGTGTTTACATGAACATGGCATATGTCACCCAGCCTTTGTTATATAGGAATGGGGGTGGAGAGGTCTGTTTTCAGAAGGCAGGGACATTTCTGGACAGAAAGATGGCCAATAGGAAGAAATAGTACCTGTAGTACCTCTCAGCCTTTTGACAAATATTAACAATAGAAGAAACCCCAGCCCAGAATGCCTTCAAGTTTTCACAGGTTTTTCTTCAGTATTTTTAGCACATTCCTCCCACGTCAATTCTCTAGATATTTATTAAATGCTTGCGGCTGACAAAATCATGGGGGGAGGCGATGATCTTTTGGAGATTGCACAGTATCTAGACTACCAGTAAAGATGACCAAGACATTACACAACTATATACATGCAGGAGAGCAATGGTAACACAATGCAGCACAGGCCTTGTGCACTGGAAGACAGTAAGAAAGACACAGATCCTGAGGGGAGAGTTCCCATGGAATTGTTCCTATGATTCCAGGACTCTCAGGGCCATCTGAGGGGGCAGCCAGCCAGCACATCTCTTCCACAGTCACAGGCAATTTAATTGACTTATACAGTAAACTGCATGAAAATGACTGGCAGCTACAAATGAAATTTGCATTTAACTAGCTAAAATGCCTATCCATGGGAAGGGAAAGGCGAAGGAGGAAGAGGAGGGGGAAGTGATGGCGGTGACAGTAGCTATGATTTACTGAGCCTTTCAAAAAATCTCCCAAATTTTCCAAAATCAGTAGCTTCAAAGGAGGCATTGTGCTGTAGGAGTAAGTGTGTAAGCCAGAGCACTCAAGACACACACAGAGAAAACCTCATTCAAACTCACCGGTGTAGGACACCAACTTGATGTCACATTTAGTTTTGAAGCCAGGTAGTACAATATTCTGTGTTAAATGCATTTTATGAGAATTTGGAAAGAATTTAGGCAAAGGCTGCACCAGCACATAATTTACTAGCTTGAGTAAAAAAAAAAAAATAATAAAAATCAAGGAAATTGTCCATTTCCAGGGGAAAAAAAAAAAAAAAACAAAATGTGCTGAGTAGCTAATGCTTCCATATTACCCTGGTAAAACTGGCACAATTTCTAGAGAAGAAAATGATTGAAAGCAAATGAATTGATGTAACAGCCAATAGGGTAAGAGGCTAAGAGAAAAAATGTTCACTCATCTATCATTTCTATTTGTTCAGCAAACATATACTGAGGAGATTAAATTAGAGAGCCAGTGCTGTAGGTCTTGGGCCTGAAGACCCAGCTATAAGCAGCTGAGGTGCTTCTCCCTGAAGCTTTGGTATCAGAAATGAACAGATACACAGAAATTTTAAACTGTGGTAAATATGTAAAGGAAACCAAATGATAAGAAACAATACACAACTAGACTAGGACCAGACTCTACTTTTATGTATTGTCACTAAATATAGGCTCTCCTGGAAAATAAAAGTGATGAGGAGACCTGTCATACTTACTAACCATAGCACTAGGAAGTGGGTGAACATTCCAAATAAAGAAGGCATGAAGCACAAAAGCCCTCATGTCATCCAGTGCTTAGTGTGTCTGGCAAACAAAAACGGAAGACAGCTGTGAAAAATGACATATCATCTTGAATAACCTACACCCTTGTATTAGTCAGTGTTTGGTCACTGTGACAAATCACCTGAGATAACCATCTTAATAGAGGAAAGGGTTGTCTGGGCTTATGGCTCCAAAGCTTACAATTCACAGCTATGGGGGGCTCTTGTTTTGGGATTGTGTCAGGGCAGGATATCATAACACAGAAGGGATCATGTGGTGGAGGCACCTGAACTCAGCATGGCTGGGATCCAAAGAGGGACAAGAAAGAGTCCTAGTGCCAACCTCCCCTTCAACAGTATGCATCTAGAGACCTGACTCTCTACCACCCCACCTCTAGAGTTCCACAAGCTAAGGACCAAGGTTTTAGCATAACAGTCCTCTCTTTTAACTTTCAGATGAGGCACATCTGTGAAACACTCCTGACAACAGTTTCCCTGATCAATAATCTAGGTCTTCTAGTCTTCATGTAGATTATCATTCAGCCTTCACCATAACTAACGGCCCACAGAAGAGAGTTATCAGAAGGAGAACACAGCTACCAAAGAGCTAAACACACTGTCTAAGCATCCACTATGGTCATAGAATTGGATTTCACATGCAGGTTGATCTATCTACAAAGCCAGCATGTTTTTGTTTTGTTCTTTGTAGGTTTTGCTATAGAAACAACTACTGACCTGAATGACAGGAGCTTCCACCTAGGACTCAGTAAAGCTGAATGCATTAGACCATGTCTCCAACACAGATGCACAGCATCTTCCTTGCCAACTTGTTCACTTGTTCACTTGCAAAGGCACTTTTCCAATTCTTGCATCAGAAGATAAAGTCCTCACCCACTCTGGCTGGCCATGTGACTTACTTTGAACAATGAGATAGTATTTTAAATTATGTACCCATACCTCAGTCATGGTGCATAAAGGGAAACAAGCCATTTTTCCTATCTCTTCTGTTAGATATTTTGTCACAGCAAAAGCTAAAGAGCCAAATGCTGAAAAATTGGTTTCAAGAAGTGGAATTATTGCAGGGGAACATCTGACCATGTCTTTTGGAAGCTTTTGGAAGTGGTGTGGAGGGCAAACATGGAAGAGTTGAGATCTGTGGGCTGGGAATGCAGTGGGGTTCTGAGAGCTGAGCTTGACTCAGTTTTAGTAAAAGTGTGGAAGACTAGAATGCTGATAGAAAAGTAGACCCTAAAGATTGTACTCACAGGGTTTCAGATGAGAACAAGGACCAAGAATCAGACTTCAGGTAATTCATGCTACAGTCTGGCAAAACCCCTTAGCTATGTTCTGCCTTAGTTCTGGACATTTGGATGAGGCTGAATTAAAAGATAATAGACTAATATATATAGGCCAAAGGGAATTTCAAAACAGCATAACACCCAGGATGTGGCAGGGTTACTGCTTTCTGCTTTCAGCCAGATTTGCAGTGAGCACAAAGGAGCTCAGAAGCATGTGTTCTGAATAGTTCAGATAAGAAAGGAGCAAAAGTGAAATTAAAGTTACAGAAAAAGCAAATGTAGGCATTGCCTCTCTAACTCCTAGAAACTAACACCATCATGCAGAAACTGACTTTTAATACTGGGACCAGAGCAAAAGTAATTTGAAGACAAGACCCCGTGCTCATCCAAGGTTCCAGTGTGTAAAAATGGAAACACACTTAAAAGGTTTTCTTTTAAAAAACAAAGAGGGAGAACTGTGGGGGTATGCTATTCAAACAGGGCCACTTAAGAAAGTGTTCCCCCAAATTCAGCTATTCCTTTAGACACTACTATAGCCACCCCCAGGGGACCCAACAGCATCTTGTCCTGTCAGCAAAACTTGGTGCTATTTGTTTCAGGCATGCTGAGTATAAGTTATATGGTGACTAAGCTTGTACGCAGGTTGCAGGAACAATAAGAGTGTGAGTCTACAGAGGTGAAGCCCAGCACTCACTTTCTAACGCATAGACACTGCAATGGGAATTAGTGTATTCGTCCAGAAAACAATGTACTGGAGACCATAACCCTGCTGCTTTTAGAAGGCATGAGTAAACATGTTTAGGCCTCAAAAGTCAAATGGATGGCAGCAAGAATTACAGAACATGTGACTGGATAATGAGATTTGAGTTAAAGTTAGAACCTCAAGCCAGCTGCTCCAAGCCAGCTGCTCCGAGTGGAAGAGTGGGTGATAAATAAACTATAGGGCAGATCAATTGGCCAATGGGAAAGCCATTCCATGAAAGGACCTTGGGGTGAGCAGAGAAGCAGCGATGGGAACAGATGACCTTGACTGGCTCTCCTGTCTCTTTCTTCTTCCCAAGTTTACTGTCTCTGTCTCACCACCATGGTTATTAGATGAACACATTCCTAGAAAGCCGTGTCTGTGTTCACTCTCGAGAGAGACTCCAACCCTTGTTTCATGTGTTACACGCGTTTGAACAAACACAACCACAGGTATGAGCAGAGTGATAAGTAACAGCAATAGATATGGTCTCCTGGGTCCTAAGTGAACAGAGGAGCTTTCAGTGTATATGAACAGCCACATCCCGATTCAGTTTTCAGTTTTAGCTTCCACCAAACTACCACCATTTCCCGATTACAGGCTCCTCTTTAAGACCCAACTCCAATTTCCTCAGGTATATTGTCTTTGTCTCTTCTGTGGGGCACTTTGTAGATTTTTTTAAAAAAAATCCATAAATCATAACATCCTTATCTATCATTGAACTATGAACATCTCTTGTCAAGGGTAGGTAAGCCATGGTCTACAATGAATACATAATCAATTTTGTTGACTAAATAGATAGATTAACGCAAAAAAGATTTGTTGGAGTCAATAATTTTAAATAAAAAGATAAAAAGGCGGAATCACTCACTAAACTGAAATTCGATGTTTCTCCAGTTCCTCCAGGTAAGATGTATCTCCTGAATAATCTTCAGGCTCTCCAGGTCTCCACAGAGAAGATCTTTTCTTCACAGAATGATCTCCCTCCTTAGGAGAATCCATCGATGGAAAAAGAAAAGAAAGAAAGAAATATTTTATTAATAATGGGTGACATGTTCACCTAGCTTTGGGGCTGTTTTCTCCAGAATGACCTGTGGAATCACCAATTACAAGTCAATTAGCCATACTTGATATTCTCTTACCAAGAGTATGGAGTATTTACTGCACTGAAGCACTTGAATGGCATCTGTAATTGTTGTTACAACTGACAACATGGCAAAATAACCATGATCATGTTATCACTCTGAATTGGATTTTGGCTCTAAGTTAAACCTTATATAATCTCTTCGGAAAAAGAAGTTTGAAAGGAGAGTTCCATAGCCAATCTACAGAAAAGAAAGGGAAGTAGCCGAGTTTCAAGAACAGGAAAGGAGGACTTGAATTTGTTAAGATTCTTTCCACTTCTGCTCTATGCTTCAGCTGGCATTGCATACCAGCTTTGCCTCCATTAACCTGTGAGTCCCATAACAGATGACCCTTATTACCTTGAGCTCAGTACCTGTACAGTGTCTGTGAAGCTAATTTATTAGAATTTGAAAGGATCATGCAATATGATGCAGGGTCTGGAGACCTGTCATTCAACCTGGGAACCCTGCTATGGTAGAAAGTGAAGTAGGGAACAGTTAACCCAGCAGGGCCCTGTCTTTCTGCTTCTACAAAACCACCTCGTTTTACCTGTTTTGTGAAGAGAGTCTCCTGGAAGATTTTAATACAAATGCTAGTTACAAAAAGTAGTTTGAAGAGCATGAGCCTAGAACAGTAGAGCCCTGGGTATCACATTTAGAACAGTCACCTTAAAACCCTTTGTCTTCCTCCACATGCTTTCGGTTGTCATTTTTTAGGGGCCAGTTTTTTTGAACTTCCTTGATCTCAGCTGATCCAAGTGTCAGCATAACTCAAGAGTTTATTTTGCAATTGCAAAGTTCGGCTTGGGGTTGGCAGGTTGCGGTAACCAGGAAAAGCATAGAAACCAGGTGGAGTCAATGTGTCATCAAATCCCTAGTGAACCCAACAGGGCTTATTTCTTTTATATGGAACTGATTGGTTTGATTACTTTAAGAACAAAATCCAGTTATGACAGCCATGAATTTGAAATACTTTTTATTGTGGTCCTTTTTATCTTCTTTAGCCTTTAGAGCTCTTAAAACAATAAAAATATTTCTGATCAGATTATTCACACTGGTGTTCTTAATTACCCCATTCCTGAGGAAATTGAAGAGTGTCAAAATTCTTGAGGAAAACATGCAAGTTGTGAGTTGTCCCATATGTCTTTGTAGCCATTTAAATTATAGGTTGATCCCACTTCTTTCTGAGTTTCTTGTTTTATTCTATCTTCTTAGATAGAATGTTGAGATGGGGCCTGGGGAGATGACTCAACGGTTAACAGCACTGACTATTCTTCTAGAGGACCTGGGTTTGATTCCCAGAATCCATATGACAGCTGAGTATTTGTGAGCCTAGTCCTAAGGTACCCCAGAGTACCAGGCACACACACAGTGTAAAGATATACATGCAGGAAGTATTCATACACATAAGATAATAAATAAAAATAAAGAAACCTGAAAGGGATGCTAAGATCTAGTCTCAGATCAGTTTGCATACTCACCCCCTTTATATACAAAAGCACAGGTGTTTTATGCTAGGGAGCATTGCATTGCTTTCTATTTGGTTAGTCTGTGAATATCTGTCCTATTTCCTCAACTAAACCTCTGATGAAAGTGGGATTGAACATATCTCATTGGGTCTTCTACAGAAACTAGCATGACAATAAGAACACACTATATCTCAATAAACAGTTACTAGTTCATTTCACTCACATTACTATTAGCAATAATGAACATTGCCTCCAGCTTTTAAGTCATAAAGAATGATATGAATAAGTTTCAAAACTCAAAAAAGTTCCCTAACCCTTTATATTTCTTTAAAGTATAAATATTTAAATCCATACACTAAAAACACTTAAATTGATTTTTGAAAAATATGAAATCATGGAAACTCATTTATGGCCAAAGCAATAAGATCCCCATAAATAAGAACATGAAAATTTTTAGTCTTAAAAAACATGAACAATGTGAACACATGCAGAGGCGCCCCAGTTGAGAACCTGGGTCTGTATACCAGCTCCATGCACCTAATACTCTCAGGTGTCCACTAAGCACACTTTTGTGTCTTGACTCTATGGCTGATAAACAAGGCTTCTACTACAATAGTGTCAATTCTTTAAAGACAGAGGAGGCCCTCTGGTCCATTCTAGATTTAAATCCTGTCTGATCTGTGATGCAGAGGAAGTTGTCTTTAAAGACTGGAAACCTGGGGATTGGTTTTCCTACAGGAGTACTTTAGAAATATTACTACTATCTATACTTGAGAAATCAGTATTCAGTTGTGTTCTAGAACATTGCAGTATTGACACTGTATGTGTGGCTATTCTTATTCTGACCCACTACAGAAATAAAAAGCAACTATTTAAAGACAGAGTTCTGAACCTCAGAATCTGATTTCTCATTGATGGACTAAATATTTGGTTGATGAGGCTTGTTATTCAGAACAAGCATTGGTTAAGAAGGGCTGAGAGATGTCTCTCCCATGTGTAATATAATGGGAGGCACAGATGTCTTAAGGGGTTTTGGATGTCTAAATGCATAATGCTAACACTCTTGTGAGAGCCTCACACTAGCATCAGAAGACACACATACATGTCTACCTCATGCTTATTAAAAACTGATGGACAAGGCATATAAACAGAAGGCCTTTAGTTGTAGAAGTATAGACACTGTTTTACACAGAGCAGATCTCATTTAATGAAAGCCAACTTACATATAATTATATGTGGAACACACTTATTAGGACTTTCTTTGTAAACAGAAGTCATATATAAATATTTTAAATATTATATATTACACTGCATACTTACATTTTAGATATTATATCATACATTTTATGTATAATATAACTATTATAATGTATAATTTTATAATTATGTAACTCTTCTTAGGAGAAGGTACTAGCCCTCAGATGTTTTGTTCATTTTTTTTATTTTATTTTTAATTATGTCTAGATGTGTGTGTTTGCATATGAGTGAGTATGTGCACATCGGAGTATAGATGTTGATGGAGAACAAAGTTGTTGGATACCTGGAGCTGGAGTAACAGGCAGCTGTAACCATCTGACACACGTGCTGGAAATGGAAAATTAGATCTTTTGCAAGAGCAGTTTGCATTCTTGACCCTTGAGCCATCTCTCCAGCCCCTTGGATGTTTTATGATATTAATGTAAACAGAATCTCACAGTATTGTATATGGCATAAGCGGTCAAGTGGGCATTTAGCCCCTTTTCTGGTGCATTTATTGTAGGAGTTGAGGAAGCTGTGTAGGATACAGGGAAGAACTAGGTTCCAAGGTCATCTGAGCTCATGACCTCTGTGTCTATTTGCATCTTCATAGAAAACAATTTGCAGAGTTCCTGAATTCTTGTTCAAATGTTTTTGCCCCTTGATCACAGTTCTTTCCCTGAAGTCTTTGGCTCAGACACAAGGGTGAGGACATAGGGATCCCAGTGGAGAAAGAGCTGGAATTTCATAAGCTAGGGTGCAGTAGAGAAGCCTTTCTATGTCCCCACAGAGAGCCCCACTAGGCAGAAGTCCAGCTTTGCCGACACCTTGCAGGGACTTTGAGCATGGTCTGTATGGAAGAGTGCTCACCTGCACATCTGGCCAGATGATGAGCACAGGGATTGTTCTCATCAAAGGAGATGGCCTCAGAAAGAGGAAATGGTGTCTGAAGGCTGGCTGAATCCTGAGGATTACTGATGCTTTTGAACTGCCCTGGGAAGATCAGAAAGAGCTGGGGAAACTTGAGAGCCAGCTAGAGCAATGCTCAGCATTTTTTTAAAGATGGCAGGAGAGAAGAAGATTTGACTCTAAGAGGCTGAGTTAATAAGATCACAGAATTGCAAGCCACGGATAACAACAAATGCCAGGTGTGCACAGGAATCAAAGCAAATTAACATGACATGCTGTTGTTTCTGTCATTGGTGCTATTATCACCAAAAAAAAAAAATTATAGTAAACGTAGATTTAAATTGTCAGCCTAAGTCTTAAAATGATATAAAATGATATAGTTCAAATACTGCTTGTCCTTTTCCAATCCACACTAATGTGTCAGTCAAAGACGTTACAGGAGAAATAAGGGATCTCAGGCTGCATAGTTCAGGATTAAACTTGACAGACTTCCTCCAGAACCAACTACACTGGGCTTATTTCTGCCCTGTGTATGATAGCTAGCACCCCTGACTTTTCAGAACCACAAATTCAGATGGTTCTCTGGTCTTTACTATTTGAAGAACCAATACTTGCCTTCCAAAGTCCAGGGTGAGCCTAATTCCTCCACAGTTGTTCAATGAGTATCAGTTGTAGTTCCAGATACATATGAAGATGCAGGCCTACATAGGACTGACGGTTCATTGTGAAGAGGGTGTTGTATCTGTCTAGGAAGTGGGATATCTGTCCTTGCTTCCAACACTCAGCAGATTGCCATTTAAGTATATTTCAAAGTCTATCTTCACACAGCGCTCTGACTACTGAGAGTATTCCCATCATGCCCACATCACTTCTGGGTCAAATTCAGTACTTAGACAAATGTACATGACCCTCAGGGAAGAACTTACTGGCACAAGCAAATGACTCAAAATTCATGGAATATAATTTCAGAAGTAAAATGATGCGAGCTATGATGCCACAGTAGTGTGACAACGACTACTTGAGAGGATGAGGCAGGAGGATTGCAAATTCAAGGCTATCTGGGCAACTTGGGGAGACCTTGTCTCAAAACAAAGTTTAAGAAAAGCCTGTAGGTAGAGCTAAACAGAACAGAGCTGAACAGCACACAGATATCCCTCAATTGAATAATGGGTAAAGAAAATAAATGTGGTACATTTACACAATGGAGCACTTGGTGGAAAATAACAATGGAATCTTGAAGTTGGCAGGCACGTGGATGGAACTAGAAGAAATCATCCTAAGTGAGATAACCCAATCACAAAAAGAGGAATATGGTATGTACTCACTCATATATGGATTTTAGACATAGAGCAAAGAATCGCCAGCCTATGATTCACGCTGCCAGAGAAACTAGGGTACAAGGAGGATTCCAAGTGATTCATACAAGGTCCCTCACAGAAAGGGAAAGGGACAAGATCTCCTGAGCAAATTGGGAGAAGGGGGTTGGTAAAGGAAGAGGGAGTTAGGAGAAAGAGAAAGGGAGGAGAGGAGGGAAGAGGAGAACATGAGGGGCAGGAAGATTGAGTTGGGGGAAGAACAGAGGAGAGCAAGAAAAGAGATACCATAATAGAGTGAGCTATTATAGGTATAAAGAGAAATCTGGCACTAGGGAAATGTCCAGATACCTACAAAGATGACCCCAACTAACAGTCTAAGCAATAGTGGAGAAACTACCTTAAATGCCTTTCCCCTACCTTATATGCCATCCTAGAGCCTTCATCCAGTAGCTAAGGGAACCAGAAGCAGACACCTACAGCTAAGCACTGAGCTGAACTCGTAGAATCCAGTTGCAGAGAGGGAGAAGTGATGAGCAAAGGGGTCAAGACAAGGCTGCAGAAACCCACAGAAACAGCTGACCTGAACAAGGGGAAGCTCATGCTGGGAAGACTGATTGCTGGGAAGCCAGCATAGAACTGACCCAGAATTCCTGAACTTGGGTCTCCATTGGGAGGCCTGGGAAATCTATGGGACCTCTGACAATGGAACCCTGGTGCAGGAAATGACTTTGGGAGCCCATCCCCCATGCCCATCCCCCATGGAGAGATACTCCCTTAGCCTAGTGACACTAGGGAGGGCCTAGTCCCTACCCCAAATGACTTGACAGATTTTGATGATCCCTTCTGGAAGGCCTCACCCTCCCTGGGGAGTATATGGGAGATGAGGTGGGGGAATTGGTGGGAGAGGGCATAGGAGGATGGGAGAGAGGGAACTGGGATTGATATGTAAAATTAAAAAAAAAATTAAAACTGCTTAATTAAATATGCAAACTCAGAAATCACGGGGAAATTTTGTAGTTCTTATAGTGATTATATTTATGGCCTTCTTTCCTTTCTCCCAATTGCAAAGTTTATTGTTAGCACTAAGTATGAGAACCTTGGAAAAGGCATTAAACGGTTGATGTCAGAGCCATATTGTCCTAGCAGGTCATAGACATGTCCCCTCAGACAATTGTTCCCTGTTAAGATCACTCAAAGCTGGGGAGCAGAACATACATATCTAACTAAAAGGAGAGAGGGCTCCACATCATTTTTTCCTATGCATCATCAAATCAATAGGAACAGGTTCCAGAGCCAGGCAGTCTGGCTTCAGAGCCCAGTGCCAGTTCAGGCTTCTTGCTGCAGCTAATTGTGGCTAATCCCCTTCCTTCATGGTCCCTTTTCTCACCTATAAAGCAGGAATCATGATGAGGATGCATTTGTCATCTTGAGAGAAAGAACTAAGACTCTTCGCTCTGTCTAGCGACAATAGCAGTTGCTGAAGATTACTCACACAACATCTCAGCCCCTCTCCCCACAACACAGATGGCAGTAGAAAAAAAAGGCTACAATTTTAAATATTGAAATTGGCCATATGTTCATTAAAATCTGCCATCTATATGACTAAATGGTGACCTAATATTTATAGATGAAAGAAAGCAAATGTGATGTTAAAACTAGTCTTAAGAACAGACCACACAGAATTGTTCCAATAGATCTACCCCTTAAAGCTTATCTTTTATACATTTTTTGTTTATTAATATTGTATCTATGTGTGTGATTGGTGGGGAGATGTGTACTAAGGTGCATATGTGGTGGTCTGAGAACAATTTTGTGTAGTCAGTTCTTTCTTTCAAAATCTATGTGGGTTCTGGGGATTAAATCTAGATCACCAGGCTTGCAGAACTTTTGCCCACTGGACCGCCTCACTGGCTCCTCTGTCATGCTGCTATTAATGAGGCAAATATGTTTATTCACCAGTAGGCGATATATGCACCAGTAGGCAATTTCAACATTGTGTGCTGTCTTTCCTCAAACTAAGATGGCTATGTAATGGGTGATGATCAACTCTTAAAGTGTGACCATCACACATTTGGACCACTGTTGATGGGAAGTGTCCCTCACGACTAGATTTAATTAGACATAATAGTAGAGAGACAAGGTAATTAAGATAACTCAGATAACGTTTAGACAAGTGACAAGACAAGGAAAGAATCTTAATATTTGAATTTCCTCCTGCCCTCCCCTATCCTTATGCCCTTCTTTCTCTCTCTCTCTCTTTCTCTCTCTCTCTCTCTCTCTCTCTCTCTCTCTCTCTCTCTGACATATACTCCCCAGGCTGACTTTAAACTAGTAATCTTCCTAACTCTGCTTCCCAAGGGCTGAGATTACATGTATATGTCACCATGCCCAGGTATTTTAACTTTTTTACAAGCCTAACTTTACTGAAAAATGGTTAAAATCACTCATTTTATGTTAAAAAAAAAGTTTAGAAATGGCTATCTAAAAATTTGGTCAATATTTGTGAAACCCAGGATATCTAATTTAGATTAGTTTATTCAGTTTTCTGGCTTTTTATTTTGTTGTTGTTATTTAGGTCTGGGAGCACAGCACAGTGATAGGTTAGTATGTATTTGATTCTGTGTTTTATATGACCCTGGTACTTTTATATGATAAACAAATAAATAACAAAATGTGAGATAGCTTTATACACACACTTCCCAGCAGCTCTGATCAGGCCAAGTAAGTCTCTGAAACACAGCACAACCAACATGTTTTCTAATTGTCTTCTCAAGATGCAATGTTACCCAGAAAGATTAGCTTAAACTAGACTTCCCATACCTTAGAGAAGTCTGATTCGGATGTAATAGGAATTTATTGGCTCTGTAGATTCATGAGACATTAGCCACTTTAGCATATCCTATATTTCAAAACCTGTTTTGAAGAACAAATTACTTTCAACCTGGAAATACATTTTAAGAAATCAGAACTAGTAACCAGTGATTGTTGTTTTCATGGTCTTTCTGGTAGCAGCCTTCCTCTTACCTTAGAGTGGGAGTCATGGACTTCTTTGAAGAGGCTGAGATCACAGTCCCTAGGGCCAGGGTCTGTTTTATTAGAAATGTTCCCTAGAGTTAAAAACAAAAAGGTGGGGAAAACAGATTATAGAGATTTTCACTTGAGAGGCTATGTAATCTCACACCACCAATATATAAGGGCATATATAGAGCCTGGCAAGTTGAGACTAAAGGAGCCTTTTCAAAGGAGGCACCATGTCCCCTGCTTCGGATCAGTTACTGTATGAACTTAAAGTTCATACTGGTCCGTAAGCCACAGGATGTGGGTTCACTTTACAAGGACAGCTGTCTCAGAGCTGTCTCCCTGTCTTTATCATGGAGAATTTCCCATCATGGGGTACATGTCTAGGATTGCATTTCTAAGTCATCTCCTCTCCACTTCTGGTAGATGATCTATCATGAAATCCTAAGCTGGAAGTTGTCTACCAGCTCCCAGTGCATTTTCCCTGACCTACTTTTCTCTTACCTTGAATGACTCAGTCAATGTGGAGGTTTCTGAGCCTCCATACTATTGATATATTGGATTGGACAAGGCTTGACTGTGGAGCTGTCTTAAGCTTTGCTAGTAGGATACCTGGCTTCTACTGGAGTTTAAAAGTGTCCTCTATATTCTCGTCCCACCTCCCTCCACTGTGACAACCAAAGGTATCCCCAGACATTGTCAAAACATCTCCTGAAGGACAAACCATGGCCATTCAAGAACACAATTCTACCCCACAAATCCCTTATAGACAAAGTGTTTAGTTCATCTTTGTTTTTCTAAAAGTATTTAGCAATGACTGGCATAGGATACTTTCCCAGAAGATATTTCTTAAGCTAAAAACAAGTAGTTATAAGTAAATAACAAAATTATCCTCAAAGCAGGTGTTAACTACAGTGTTATTCTATCCCACTCTATTAACTGGATACCTCACTTCAGCGAACCCCTTTACCAATGCCTGGTCTTGAGATCTTATAACAAATTTCCTACTCTAGAAGCTTCTAGAGCTTGGAATATCTTAGAACAGGTACAGATTTGTTGAGGTTGATAGTTCAATGAGTGTTAGCAACATCCACAAGGAGACAGGTAGTGAGACTCAAGCCTTGATTCTCTCATCCTACCTTTTACCTACAAGAGGTCAATTCTGCCATCATCTACCATTTGGAGTTGCCCTGGACAGTGTTTTAAAATATGGAATCAAGAGGACATGCATGGCTGCATGCTTTGGGAACCTTGGATGCTTCAGGGACAATCCAGCTAGACTCATGCTATTTGTGGCTCACTATAGAGGAACACAGTTTTGCTACATTTTTGACCCCACCCTGGTGAACTATGCCCAGCTACAGACACCAGGAAAGTGAGATCCACTAAGCACCCCTTCTTGGACACTGGATACTCAGTTTACTGAGATGAGATCATATAAACCCTCGGACAAGCTTATTTACTGGAAGTCTAAAACCAAGTTTCTTAGCAGCAAAGTTGATATGGTCAAGGCAAGTTAGAGAGTACAGAGAAGAGGAAAATGTGGGAAGCAACATGTTTATTTAGCTGTAGGTATGACTATTCTAAGATTCATGATTTTCATTCTCACTATATAGTTGCACAATAAACATTTAATGTAAGACATTTTGCATTTTTAGTATTTTCTAAGAATCCCATTTGTAGTGTATTGATTGCTATTGCATGCATGTGCGCGCACGCGCACACACACACATGCATGCACACACGCGCGCACACACACACAAACTAGTAACATTATACCATTCTACAGATTCAACAGATTCAGAAATTGAGACTCAGATCAAAGAATTTCCTTTGAATCAAATAGCAAATTAGTCAAAAATCCAAAATTTGATCTTGGTTCCATTTTACCTCAAAGCCCATATGTTTAATCTTTCTGCTGTGACTTTCTTGGGAACCCACACTATGTTTTCTACTTACATGAAACATATTAAAACATTTGACATGTGCCTTTTTGCTGATGGAACAAATTACCACAAATCTGTAGCCTAAAATGACACCCATATATTATATCACATTTTGTGTGTTTATGGCTTGGATGTCTGGGCACAATCTGGCTCTGTTGGTTTCACTCTGGAAAGCCTCACACAGCTAAGATCAATGAAGTAGCCAGGGCTGTGGTTATAGGGAGCCCTTGTAGGCTTCCTGGTTTGGGTAGAATCTACCATGTTCCACACATTATGAGTGCTCCTCTCTGCTTTCAAGTCAATAGCATCAAAGTACTTCTTTTCTTTTTCTTTCCCCCCCCAAGCTTCATCTCACTTCTGTGCACGAGTGTGCATGTACATGAATGTGTGTGCCAACAGAAGCCAAAAGAGGACATTTGATCCTGTGGAACTGGAGTTATAGGTGTTTGAGAGCACTTGGCATGGGTGCTAGCAACCAAACTCTAGTCCTCTGAAAGAGCAGTAAGTGATCCACCATTGCAAACCCAAGTAATTTCTTTTCTTGCTTTGAATTTCCAACTGCTTTGCTCTCAACAGCCTAAGATAGCATTCTACTTTTTAAGTTATATTCACACAGATGATCTCTCTTCCAACATATGAAAGTTCTGAAGTGCAGACACAGGACATCTTTTGGACCAAGTCTTGGGAATTCTACCTATCTGTAAATATTTTTTAGTTTCTTACATTAAAATACAGTCTTAGGGCTGGAGAGGTAGCTCACTGGTTAAGGTCTGCTCTTGCAGGGGATCACAGCTTGACCTCCTAAATCAAGAGGGTAATCACCAGGGGATGCAACACCCTCTTCTGACCCCCATGGGCACACATATACATACATTCATACATACATACATGCATGTGTGTATATATAAATATACATACATACCATAAATAATAACATTTATATTTCAGAAAATATAAAACAATGTGCATGCGAAGGAAGTAAAGTGTTTATCAAGAGTAGAATCTGAAAATTCTAATACTTTCTTGATTCTCACACAAAGACATTGCCTTTCCTATAATGGATAAATAGATGATAGGAAGATTGATGGATGGATGGATGGATGGATAGATAACAGACAGACAGACAGACAGATAGATACTCAGTTTAAAAACAATCATGGCATATATTTTTACATAAACTTCCATTTTTAATTCAATGAGAAATTAGCCATCTTCCTTTCAATCTATTTTTTCCCTTAAGTTGACCTCTTATCCCTTGCTCTCCATCAAATCATAGTCAAGTTTTATATCATAATCAAGGTTTTCCTAACTCTACCTATTCATGGAAACCATGCTATGTTTGCCGACTTGTGTTTTACATGCCAGATATATATATATATATATACATATATATATATGAAGTTATGCACACATGCATTGATAAAGGTACTTTTCTTTTAACATAAAGGATGAAAAATATTGTATGCCTCTTTCTACATTTGATGGAATTCCTTTTAAATCAGAAACTGAAGCTCCAGTGTATTCTTTACTTAGAATAGCATCATAGCTCCATGAAAGAGTAGCTTTTTGAACAGCTCTCTTCCAGTGAACATTAACATATTTATTCCTTAGTTATTTTTATTTGAAAGATCAAGATAAGAAAACAATTTCAGCAGTGTTTTATTTGATGGAACTCTTGACACAAAGATAATGCCTATCTTAAATATTAATAGATGATGCTAAATAGGTTTTCTTCTAATTTTTAACAGTCTTACTACGTAGTTCAGGATGCCTCCTCACTCATTATCATCCTGCCTAAGAGGGTCTCAGATGTTGGAATGATAGGTAGCAACTACAGTGCCCATCAGTGGATTGATTGTTCAAAGTATATATTTTGGGGCCTGAGAGATGGCTAAGTTGACAAAGCACTTGCCATGCAAGTGAGAATACTACAATTCAGGTGCCCAGAATCCTTGTAAATGACAGGTGGGCTTGTTTGCCTACCTAAATCTCAACAGAGAAAATGGGCTGTTTGGGGCAAGCAGACTAACTAACTAAACTAGCTGTATCAGAGATTTTAGTTCAATTGAGAGATTCCACCTGAAAAAAAAATAAAAAAGAGAACAACCAAGAAAGTATACCAGCATTAACATACACATACAAATGCAGCCACATAAATGCCAACATGGATACATCCATGTATATCATGCACATACACCATGTATATGTGTGTATATATGCAAGCAGTATATAATAAAATCCATTTCCCAAAATTGTTGCCACGAGTGACTAATTGGTGTTGTAACCAGAGAAGGTGACCTCTATCACTGAACTTATATATATAGAAGGATACTTTTTCAGCCTAGATACATGGGAAAGGTCCTAGGCTCTGCCCCAAATGACTTAATGGACTTTGATGATCCCTCCTGGAAGGCCTCACCCTCCCTGGGGAGTGACTGGGAATGGGAATGGGGGTTGGGGGAGCATGGGAGGATGGGAGGGAGAGGGAACTAGGATTGATATGTAAAATAAGATTGTTTATAATTTAAATAAAATTTATAAAAAAAAATCCTTAAACATTAGGTTCCTGGCTGCTGGCAGTGCCTCTTCAGATTTATTTTCATTCTATCTATTGTTATTTTTTGATTAATCTATAGGTACATAACTTTTATTTTTCATTCTCTCATGTGCATGTACTGTACACTCTGTATAATAAGAATTTTCTCATTAACTCCTTTTGACAATATATTTTACTAGAGGAATTTTCCAATGTCATAAAACACAATTTATTTCTTTTTACTTAGCTTGCTTTTCTACTACATTTATTCTGATTCTTTGTATTACTGATTAGATTGAACTGATATTAATTTTTTCTGGACTCCCACTCCTGAGGTCTATATTCTGCTATGTGTCTCAATTCAATTCTGATGTTTTCTTTCACCATGTAGAGTCATATGCAGCAGAACCAGTTAGCTGTGGCCTGGCAGGTGCATAGTTCTAGAAAGGAGTGGTAAGATAGGAAGAGAGGCCAAAGCCCTGGAAATCTGAAAGATGTGGAAAGGAATGTCTTTATTTATTTATTTATTTATTTATTTATTTAGATAATTTTTTAAATTTAAATTTGAAACAAGCTTGGTTTACAAGTCAATCCCAATTCACACACC